GACCGTTATATATTTATTAATAAAATATATAATTAATTAAGTAATTCATAAATAAATTTAAATAAAAACCTGATTTTTGAAATTTAAAACATCATACCTTAATTTTGAAATGTGTATAAGTAAAAGTAGGATTTATGTATTCTTCCCTTAATATTTTCCCTTCAAGTGCAACTTGGGTCGGTCTGGGCCTAGGTTTATGGGCTATGATTTACAGCCCTTAACAACAGCCCAAGCCCATATAAGAAATACTGCAGTACCAGAAAAATCGAGGTCTCTCTCTATCCCCGGCCTAAACCATACAAAGAAGTGCAGAAAAAACGAAACCCTTCCAAGCTCAAGAATGGCCGACGGCGAAGAAAACGACGAGTTCTATCTACGGTACTACGTGGGCCACAAAGGAAAATTCGGGCATGAATTCTTGGAGTTCGAGTTCCGACCCGATGGCAAGCTCCGTTATGCTAACAACTCTAACTACAAGAACGACACCATGATCCGCAAGGAGGTCTTTGTAACCCCCTCCGTTCTCAAGGAGTGCCGTCGCATTGTCTCCGAATCCGAGGTACGCCGCAGCCGCTGCAGTTCACTTTTTCAAGTTTTTGATTCATTCTCTCGCTGATAGGGTTTTAATATTTTTTTTTAACGAATTGTGTTGTAGATACTGAAGGAGGATGATAACAATTGGCCGGAACCGGACCGCGTGGGGAGGCAGGAGTTGGAGATTGTAATGGGGAACGAACACATCTCATTTACCACCTCCAAGATTGGCTCTCTCATGGATGTCCAGACCAGCAAAGATCCTGAGGGTCTACGTATATTTTATTACCTGGTTCAGGTATGATTATTCGCAATTTTTTCCTGAATTCAGTTGATTGTAGCTTGAATCAATTCTGTTTATTGGGCAATGTTTAACGAAGAGGCATGTGGCGCGAGTTTTGATTGATGAGTGTTATCATTTCATTCATATGAATGACCAGTAATTGGCGTTAGAAGTTTCTTTATTAACTCTTAACCGATGATCTGTTATTCATTATTATTGTGGCGGCCATTGTTTTGAATTAAGAAATTTCTGAAGTGACAGATTTTCTTGAAAGGTAAACGTAAGGTGAGGCATTGGTTTGACCTATTTCATATTTTTCTTTTCAGACTTTTTTGTTAGAATTGAACTAAGAAAACATAAAGTTTGTGAGTGATGTTAGTTTACATGTTTGATTACGCTTAAATGTTTTTGATTTGAAATGCTTGAGAGTAATTTCTTGGGTATACAAAGTGTTGGAATTTTAATAAGAATGTCCGTTAGTGCCTTGATTATGAAGGTGATAGAACGGTGATGTGTTTGAGGCCTTGATTTGCAATTAACTATTGCTTTACTTGTATGGTTAACACGTCGTAAGGAAGGAGTGGGTAGCAGATTAGTGTGGCTATGTGAAATCTAAGAAGTATATAAGTGTGAGGCTAGAAGAATGTTGGACGATTACACTTTTCCAAGAAATAAGAAGTAAATAAGTGGTTTCTTTTGAATTATTTGCCTCGCTAATTCACTCAAGGCACTTCTTTTGTTGTGGAGGGGTCTTTCAAGAAGAGTGTTTTTTGATTTCTTTGCCATTTTCCGGTTGCTAGGTTCTTATTTATAGTAGAAGGTATATATTTATAGGTTCTAATTCCATTGTACTACAAAAAATGTTCCGATGCACCCGTGCAATATTGGGGAAGCTTGGAAAAAGGGGTTGGTATAGTAAGAGGAAATTCTTTACAATTCGCACTAGATTTTACACTCATGAGTCATGTCTACTCCATCACACATATCTCAAGTACATTAATATGTCTGGTTGAAGTCTCTTTCATCTCCAGCACAAATGGTCACACTTCCCTACTCACCGTATGATATGTCTTTTTCTAAATTGAAAAAAATATAAAAACATTTCTTTCCTTGCTCTATACCGTTCCATCAATCTTTGAATTATTTAAAATGCTTCCATGTGTTTGTACCCTAAGATAAAAGATAAAAATGATACAGATTACCTTTTAATCACGCCTTAACATGTACTTTCTAATTTCTCGTAAGATGAGCCACGAACCTAATGCTTCTATTGTATGGACAAGCATAAATGTCTAATTCATTCTTATAAATAAGCATTATAACATTGTTCCTCTACTTATTAGGCCTCTCAGACCCTTTCGGATACACTTGCATACTCATTAAGGATTCTGTTTGTACCAGTTCCTCTTTTCATTTTCATCCTCTTAGTGGAGTCCTTCACTTTTGATTTTAAGATCCTTCTATCCTTCTAGTATAATCGATATTTCTACCTTTACAAGATTTGATAGAATTTACAGCTATGGTTCCATCCTCTTAGTGGATTCCTCACCTTTTATTTTCAGATGCTTCTAGCATAATTGATATTTCTACCTGTACAAGATTTGATAGAATTTAAAGCTATGGTTCCATCAAGTGATTCCTCTTATCTTTATGTCATCTGGTTACAATGAAATGGATCATTTTAGTTTTCTTCCTAATGCACTTGTGACTTGATGGACTATACCTAACATGCCTTGATGTATACATCTACTTTGCTTTTTTCAACAAGATATATCTTAGACATCTTTCTTCCCTTTTGGTTCCATGATAACTATTCAACTTTCATGCCATCCATCTAGAACTCTTAAATCTATCAATTGCATTTGCTTTATTTAACCAATTTTCCTCAAAGCCTTCGCGTAATTTATAACTTCATTGCGACGCAACATCCCATAATATGACACACAAAAGATGACAATAGATATTCATTTGTCAATTCGTACAAGTAAAGTTATTGAATACCAAGCTTGCGAAAGAACGGAGGGGTCGTTCTACTATGCTTAATTGATCTACACTGCAAACGTATATCCCTTACTGTAGAATATGTGATCCATTGAGTCATTGATAGATGAAATTTAAAATTTGACCGTTTCACTCATTCTTTGACGAGTGATGCTTGCAACATATTGTACAGTGTTCCTGAACCGATATATTGTAACACCATGGTAACATTTTTTTCTCAACAGAGAATTGCTGTCTTGTTGAATTCATTTCTCCTTTTTCACGAAGGTTGCATCTTTTTCATTTTCTCTTGCAGGATTTTAGGTGTTTCGTGTAATTTTTGATGTTATTATACTTGGGATCAAAATGGATGTTTTTTCTCGTCATTGCAGGATCTAAAGTGTTTTGTGTTCTCTCTAATCTCCCTACACTTCAAGATCAAACCCATATAAGAAGGAAAGTCGTGAAGGCCGTCGATCTATTAGTTGAAGCAAATCACTTTTTAAATTTGACCTTTGATATCTATGGGTAATCGTTAAAAACTCTGTTTAGGATTCGTAAAAGCGAGGTTGTTGGGAAAGCTTTTGAGAACAATCACAATTTGTAACGAGACATGATTATACTCCTATGTTGCATGTATTCGTGTTTTTAGCGGCATGTATTAGTATGTTTGACTGAACAAGATAAGTTTTGTTGCACGTTTTTCTTTTGTTAATCTTATCCTCATTCCTGACGAAGCCTAAATGTTCTAGAGGGAAAGGGAAATAGGATAAGTTGTGCTATGTGAACAAACAAAACTGCCTTGTTGCTCCTCTGTACACGTCAATTAATATAACACGTTTTTTTTTCGGAAAATGTCAACTTCTACAACTTTCTTGAACTTACGCCAACTCTTCCGAAATTTACTAACTTATAAATACAAATTTTATGTAGAAGAAGTGATTGTAAAAAAATATTGACCTTTATTTATTATATTTTCATTCTTATTTTTAACACTTCATTGATCAGAAAATCTTTTCCTTTATTATGATTTTCGTTCAAAATATATTGTTAACGTACTTTAAAATGATGATAAAAAATTCTTGCAGAAGTTAATGTTTTGAATTGGGTTTGATTTCATTTTCTGAGTTTTCCATTAATAAGTTTGGAGGGGCTTATGATTTGTTGATTAGAAATGGTTTAATTGTGAAGGATTTACTTAACTAGTTATGCGTTAAACCATTCGAATTAATCTATTTGTACAATGATGTTGATAAAGTTTGTTGACACTATCATATTTATCTATTTAAAAAAAATTAAAAAATGTTTTTTAAATCAATTTCAAATTTTGTCACGTCAAACATTGTCAATCATTATTGTACTGACAGATTAATTTGAATGTCTTATGGTAAAGTGGTTGTGTAAAAGATAGATGTTGTTTTGAGAATGTTTATTTGTATAGTTTTGATTATAATTGTTTATATTTTTGTTTTTATTTTTCGTGGGAATAAAGTAAAAAAGTGCAAAAGGTTGGTGGGTTGTCTTTGTTTTCTTGATTGAGCACTCTGCTTTACAATATTCCAATTGATCTTCTCATAGTATTGCTTGGTGCAGTTCGAAGAAAAAGTTGTGCACCGTTCGCAGTTGAGGGAAAAGGAGAAAAAAAGGTTTACGTTTGTGATGGAACAATAGATTTTTTATATAAAATATATATATTAAAATTCCATTTACGTAGCTTTACTTAAGAATATTTAAATAAATAAGAAAATATTTAAAATTGTAGTGCACCGAACACAATTCGTAGAGGTAATATAATCACCCTTATTAAAAAAAAAAAATGTGAAAATATATTTGGTCTTTTTATTAACTTTTCAACTGCGTAATTCATTAATTTTTTTTTTTTGAAATCCGTTAAACTTTTATTATAAGTTTTGTCACGAAGACCCAAAGTCAATCAGCTTCCATTTGGCATTTTTATGAGTGGATTTTATGCCACTTGTACATAAAAATTGTATATAAAGAATTACATAAAATGATGTTGAGAGAAAAGAGTAGGCCCCCGTTTGTCTACCATTATTTCAAGAAAATTGTTTGTTACAATAAGATTCTCCACACACATTCACCCATAAAATAATGTACACACAAATCAATAAAGTTACTTTACTTTTCAACCA